GATTTCAAAACCTGTGGAATATTGCAATAGCAGTACTAAGAGGAAGTTCATAGCAATAAATCCTTACATCAAAAATATAGAAAGATTTCACGTAAACAAACTAACTCTATACCTAAAAGAACTATTAAAACAAGAACAATCGCATCCCAAAGTGAGTAGGTAGAAAGAAATAATAAAAATTAGAGCAGAACTAAATGATACTGAGACCCCAAAAACAATAAAAAAAATCAATGAAACAAAAAGTTGTTTTTTTGAGAAGATAAATAAAATAGACAAACCATTAGGTAGGTTAATAGAGAGAGAGTGAGAGAGCGAGAGTGAGCGAGCGGGAGAGAGAGAGAGACGGAGAGAGAGAGAGAGAGAGAAACCCAAATATGAAAAATCAGAAATGAAAAAGGAGACATTACAACTGATTCCACATAAACAGAAAAATCATTAGAGACTATTATAAATGATCATATGGCAACTACTAAGACTGAACTGAGAAGAAATAGAAAACTTGAACAACCTATAACAAGCAATGAAATTGAAGTGGTAATCAGCAATTTCTGAACAAAAAAAGCCCAGGACTGGGTGGCTTTACTGCTAAATTTTACCAAACATTTAAAGAGGAATTAATACCAATTCTCCTCAAACTATTCTAAAAAATTGAAACAGAGGCCACTCTCCCAAACTCATTCGTTAAGACTAGCATCACCTTGATACCAAAAACAGAAAGATACAACAACAAAAAAGAAAACTACTGACCAATACCTCTGATGAACATAGATGCAAAAATCCTCAGTAAAACAGTAGCAATCAGAGTGCAGCAACACATCAAAAAAATTATACATCATCATCAAGTGGGGTTCATCCAAGAAATGCAAGAATGGTTCAACGTACACAAGTCAATAAATTTGATAATCACACGAACAAAATCAGGGAAAAACAAACATGTGATTATCTCAATAGATGCAGAAAAAGCATTTGACAAAATTCAACATCCCTTTACAACAGCTCTCAGCAAATTAGATACAGAAGGAAAGTATCTTAACACAATAAAAGCCATCTATGCCACGCCCACCACCAATATCATCCTGAATGAGGAAAAACTGAAGGCTTTTCCCTTAAGAACAGGAATAAGGCAAGGATTATGTCCACTCTCGCCACTCCTATTTAACGTAGTACTGTAGGTACTAGCCAGAGCAATCAGGCAAGAGAAAGTAATAAAGGGCATCCAGATTGGAAAAGATGAAGTTAAACTGTCCCTATTTGCAGATGGCATGGCCCTATATATAGAAAAACCTAGACTCTATCAAGAAAACTCTTAGATCTGGTTAACAATTTCAGTAATGTTGCAGGATATAAACTCAATGCCCCCAAATCAGTTGCATTTATATTCTCCAATAATGAAATAATAGAGAAATCAAGAAAGTAAGCCCATTTACAATAGTCACCACAAAATAAAATACCCAGGAATCAATTTAACCAAGGAGGTGAAAGATCACTACAA